GATCATATCAACATACTGTGCGAACATCAGATCAATAATGGAGTATTGTTGTGTTATATGGGGTGGAGCTGCCAACAAGCACCTGAAAAGGATCGAGAATGTTCAACATAAGTTTCTCATTTGGCTCTGCGCTCGATGTCGTGTTCAAAACGTCTCGCTTGATTATAAGACCCTTCTTCGGCGCTTTGGACTCGCGTCTCTCGCTGCAAGGAGACTGCAGTACGACATCAGGCTCCTGATAACAACAAAATTGACTCTCCTCTCCTTTTGGCGTCATTCCCTCTGGCAGCTCCTCCCCGTGTACTCCGCAACAGGATGCTCTTTAACGTGCCACATGCAAGAGTGAACACAGTGAAGAACAGTATGTTTGTGAGAGCACCTCGTCACTGCAACGATTTCCTAAACACCGCTCGGGCCGTAGATATCTGGCACACAGGGATGGGCGTTTTTAGGAAGCAGGTTGTCATGTATGTACTCTATGACCGTGCTCTAGTGCTATATCCAGTGTCCACCCTCACATTATTTTATTATATTTTTATTCTTATCGTCATCATCAATCATCATTTTTTTGTAGGCGTATATGTGTTTTATATGTGTATTTTATGCGTCCTGTGTTTTATGCAACGTATGACTCCACCTATAATTGGGTTGCACCGACCCGTTGATGATTATGAAAATAAACTAAACTAAACTAAATTAAACTTTTGCTGGGGCGACGCTCCTCTTCAGGGGGGCACCTCTTCTGCTGGGGCGCCTTTTTCGGATGGGGGGTTGGCGACCGCCCCCGCCGCCCCCCCCCCCCTGGATCCGCGCCTGCCACCACTCCCGGAACTTCAGAGGTCAGGTCCAGGTGTCACTTATACACCCGCAGTGTCATCACGGTCGACAGATCGAGCCGGTAGCTTCAAAGAAAGCAAACACTTTTTGTACATCTTTTAAAACAGCCTTGCATTAGTTGCTCCTGTCATATTGCTATACATTGCAAACAAAAAGTGTTTATTTAAACATGAATCTGTTCTGTTTTCCCCTTGCAGCGTCAGGCCTCGCGGACAACGACGGCAGCGAAATTGGACGCTTTGCTTGGCATGAGCGGAGAATAGGTAGCTACCTCTACCATCACCCAGCCGGAGGCACGTGATGCATGTCTTTCGGCACTAAAATACTTCTAGAGCGAGCTGCCATCAAATAAGGTCACGGAAGACACATGAATGTACTTCCAACGACGGGCACCCGAGTGGGCTCCTGTGTGTCTGGAAAATATAATTGCCACAACCAACAACTGGCTGGAGGGATTCCATAGTCAACTGAAGCGTTGGCCGTTGTACACGAATCGGGACGTCACCTTGTAAGGCATTCTTTAACATTACTACTGTGCACTTAATGAGATCAGATGGCTTCGTGTTTACGTGCATAACAATGTGCTTCACTGTAAATCGCACGTGAAACCCTTGAGTAACCAAGAGAGTAACCTATGCGTCACTTCATTACAGAGCACTCCTCTGTGGACAAAGAAATCCAGGCAGGTCTGCTCGGCCTACGATATGCGACTAGTTGTTAGTTGTTACCGACGAGAAGGTTCGCCAAAGCGTCCTCAACGGGCTGCTTGACCTGGAAAAAGACGTTATGGCGACAGCCGCAGCATCACAGCAGCCACCAACAGACAAGCGGAAGTCAGGGGCCGAACGCACTAGGCGAAAACGCGACCACCTGGACACCATGGACAGCATGCCTTTCTGCCGTATCACGAAAAGAAGGAAAACGAAGGAAGTGATTACAACCGGCACATGCTGGGAGCAAGACTTCAAGGCCCAGCGACTAGCATTATTCAGCGAGTGATGGGCGCAGGTTCCGTAACCAGAGCGGATCGGTACCTGAGCGATGAGCATAGCTTATGTGCAAGACCGGTAACCTGCGAAGGTCAGGCAGGAGAGGGCACTCGTCCAATGAAACTACCGAGGCCCGACATGAAAATAATATGTTAGCAAAACGGGCAGCGGTGACGGGCGTGGAAGAAGTCACAGGAATGCATAATTATACGCTAAACATAGCTTTTTTCGAAAGCCATATTGTTTGTGAATCAGTGGGTGTTTGTGTGACACAATGTATGTAGTGTGCGTGATTGCTCGCGCAATGTGCATGCATACACAATGCGCATTGCGTAATGTGTATGCATCGATACATGCATATTGTTAGTGCTCTTAAAGTGTAACGGAAATATTTGTGATCATATTTGCTTCCTTCTGGCTTTCTTGGTGTTCATCGCTACAGATACTCATTTTGACTTACATACATACGTTAAAGACCATCAGAGTAGACGGCCAATACTCTATTATCGGAACATGTAGCGTCTGTTTACCGAGAAAGAAAGAAGCGAACCTAGACCAAGACATAGTATAAAAGAGACAGAGATAAACGAAGGCAACCCAGGAGACAACGCTGCTCAGTTCCTAACCAGCAAGACAACCAAGGACGGTGATTCCCTAACTAGTTGAGCCGGCCGCGGACCGCACCCGCCCGACCCTGCGCTCCAGACAGCTCTGCCCGCTGCCACGCGGCGCACCCCGTCCGCCCGGCCGCGCCTGGTCACGTGACTGGTTGGCGGCCTCAGGCGGTGACCGGTCACAGGTCGGCCGGCCGGCAGACCACCAGCCGGCCACCGCGCGGCCAGTGACATGGCACAATAACACTACATACATACAGCCAAATGGCGTAGCGGGGCACCCCTCTCCTTTTACTGGGGCACCGCCCCTCTGGGGTTACCCTTCCGCTGTCAGGGGCGCCCCTTTTGTGTAGAATATACTCATTTTCTTCTTGTAATGGGGCGCCCCTCTTCTACTGGAGGCGCCCGACGACTGCTGTCTGCTGGACCTGGGGCGCCCATCTACTGCTGGGGCGTCTCTCTTCTGCCGGATATTGTCAATGGGGCAAAAGAAAGCAAACACTTTTTGTACATCTTTTAAAACAGCCTTGCTATACATTGCAAACAAAAAGTCTGTTTATTTTAACATGAATCTGTTCTGTTTTTCCCCTTGCAGCGTCAGGCGTTGCGGACAACGACGGCAGCGAAATTGGACGCTTTGCTTGGCATGAGCGGAAAATGGGTAGCTACCTCTACCATCACCCAGCCGGAGGCACGTGATGCATGTCTTTCGGCACTAAAATCCTTCCAGAGCGAGCTGCCATCAAATAAGGTCAAGGAAGACACCGGAGTGGGCGGAGTGCACCCGAGTGGGCTCCTGTGTGGCGGGAAGATATAATTGCCACAACCAACAACTGGCTGGAGGGATTCCGTAGTCAACTGAAGCGTTGGCCGTCGTACAAGAATCGGGACGTCACCTTGTAAGGCATTCTTTAACATTACTACTGTGCACTTAATGAGATCAGATGGCTTAGTGTTTACGTGCATAACAGTGTGCTTCACTGTAAAACGCACGTGAAACCCTTGAGTAACCCAGAGAGTAACCTATGCGTCACTTCATTACAGAACACTCCTCTGAGGACAAAGAAATCCAGGCAGGTCTGCTCCGCCTACGATATGCGACGTGTTGTTACCGACGAGAAGGTTCGCCAAAGCGTCCTCAACGGGCTGCTTGCCCTGGAAAAAGACGCTATGGCGACAGCCGCAGCATTACAGCAGCCGCCAACAGACAAGCGGAGGTCAGGGGCCGAACGCACTAGGCGAAAACGCGGCCACCTGGACAGTGGACACCATTGACAGCATGCCTTTCTGCTGCATCACAAAAAGAAGGAAAACGAAGGAAGTGACTATAACCGACACATGCTGGGAGCAAGACTTTAAGGCCTGGAGCGACTAGCATTATAGCGAGTGATGGGCGCAGGTTCCGTAACTACATAGAGCGGAGTCGGTACCTAAGCGATCTGTTTACCGAGAAAGAAAGAAGCAAACCTAGACCAAGACATAGTATAAAAGAGACAGAGATAAACGAAGGCAACTCAGGAGACAACGCTACTCAGTTCCTAACCAGCGAGAGAACCAAGGACGGTGATTCCCGAACTAGTTGAGCCGGCCGCGGACCGCACCCGCCCGACCCTGCGCTCCAGACAGCTCTGCCCGCTGCCACGCGGCGCACCCCGTCCGCCCGGCCGCGCCTGGTCACGTGACTGGTCGGCGGCCTCAGGCGGTGACCGGTCACCGGTCGGCCGGCCGGCAGACCACCAGCCCGCCACCGCGCGGCCAGAGACATGGCACAATAACACTACATACATACAGCCAAATGGCTCTCTTGGAAGTTGGATGTTGGATTACCTATTGTTTTATGTTTAACTCGCGACATGCTGAGGGGAGGGGGCTTTTCACGCCCTCCTCCTCAGATTTTTTCGCAAATACCTCAAAACGGCGGTGCTTGGCGAACCTGTTCATCCATCTTTTCTGCACATGTCAAAAGTTCAGACCCGGGTCGTCCAAGTTCAGGTCACCAGGTCACGTTAAGTGACCTCACCTCAGAAAAAGTTCAAAGGTTCGCTGTAGCTACACCGACTTAACGATCGCTTAAAAAGTCAGTGATGGATAAGAGTATCAGTATGTATGTATGTATAAAATGTATCTCTCAGAATTTTGAAAAACTGACCTAAGGTCAGGTCAATTTTGCACCCTCTCCATTTTTAGTCAATGGGAGAAAATTGAAATGCACTTTTTTGGACGAATGTCGTTTTTAACACCTCAAAACATCGGCTTATAGGTGAACATGGCACACTGAATAGGAAAATATGCAGAATATGCCCCCCCCCCCCGCAGCAGCGCTCGTATTGCTGGATTGCTGAATACTACATATATGGTTATGGTATCAGACTCTCCCTCTCTCTCTCTTTCTCTCTCTCTTCTCTCTCTCTCTCTCTCTCTCTCTCTCTCTCTCTCTCTCTCTCTCTCTCTCTCTCTCTCTCTCTCTCAACATAATACAAAGATTTTAAACTACGTTACAAAAGCTATTTTCGGCCGCAAAAAGTACGATCATGGTTCTGATTTGATGTGTATTTCTTACCGTAATTGAAGCTTTTTCTCGATAAACTTAATCAGATTGCCATGAAGACCAGTCTTTCTAAGCGTTCCATTGTTCGCGGCATCGTAGATCACATCTCCAGTAGCCTGAAACAAGTTCAACATTCAGTATAACGGCCGGACCGAACGGTGGATGGTTGTCGAATAACCCATTTTTTTCTTGCAGAGACTGTTTGATTGTGCAAGTGATGAGTCCATGTTTTGGATGAGTCGATGCTATGCATGACAAGGCATGTCCTTAGCATGTCCATGGTTCACACACAGCTGATAGAAATGAATGGCTCACATTTGACGTGGCAAAGCGGATTGTCCTCCCCTGGAACGAGGCGGGCCCGCCAGCCCTCTTGGCTCGGAGGCAGAGGCCGGCCGCGGCGCTCCAATGTCCGGACGACTCGAACAGGGGCCGCTGGCCGTTAGGAAACGTCCACACGTCTGTGACCGTCGCCGTGCAGTTGCTCTGAAACATGGTAACCAAACGACACATGGATTTAGCAATTAAAATGTCGAAACATTTATCTTGCGCACTGATTTTCTGTTGTCATAAAGTTTTCTGATTTTATGACCATATATGGTCATCGCCCCGCCCACTCCAGCCGTTGATAGGCTGATCAAATTTCAGTTCGGTGCCTCGTAGTTTCCCCTCACTGACTTAATGACTGTCATTCACCTACCCCAGGTAAACAAATAGTGATGGGTCAATTGTAATGCCTTAGTAACATTTAGGCAGCTGTGCCTCAGTAACAGTTGTGTCAGGTCAGCTACGGTTCAGGCCGGCGTTCCTCAGTCTCGGCTGCCGCCACCCACCGGGTCCAGGCGCGCGTGCATCCATGCCGCGTTGGCCGGCGCATCTGGGAGTGGTCTGGGCGGATCCCGGGCGACGACCAGCAGCCGTTCGGGGCCGCCGCTGTTCCAGAGGACCTGCCTCAGCCAGCCGGTGGGCAGCAGCACGGCCACCGTCAGCCCTCGGAGGACGCGCCTCTGCTGCGAGGAGCGCCACGCGCCGTGGCCGCAGGTGAGACGGACGGCGCGCCGGCGGCCGGCGAGCAGGTGCCAGGAGACCGAGCGGCACACGGCCCGGGCCAGCGGCGGGTCTGCCGGAAGGACATACAGGCGGCCGTCACTGGAGGACAGACGAGAGACACGGCCCAGGTCTGGGGAGGACAGACACGGCTGTGGCGGCTGGAGAACAGACACGGCATGGGTCACTGGCGAATCGACACGGCGTCAGGCATGGATCACTCGCGTGCGGACTGCGGACTGCTTGCCTTTTGTGGGATTCTGTTGAAAACTGCTAGTTCGTGAATGTCAAGAGGAACAGCTCGTGCTCACATATCATCTAATGTGAAGCGCACGGAAAAGCCGATTTCACGTTTCTCTCACCTCTCAAGATGAAGTTGACGTAGCCAACATCCAGGTGTCTGACATACTCTTCCACAAGGCCGGCCACGGCAGAGGCGAACTGACACTCGGTCAGGCTGTTGTGTCTCCTCTGGCCACCCTGTCTTGTCGCCGAGTGTGTCAGGTGGTGGCAAGCGGTCACATCAGCGCTCTGTGTCCGGTCAGAACCTCTGTCGTGTCCATCTGACACAATGCGGGGCGGGACGCCGCACACGCCGGTTCTGGGCGGTGTGACGGGCGGACTGTGAGGTGCCGCAGCATCGGCCGAATACTGGGCGACAAACGTCAGCACTGCGGTCACCGCCGACACTCTGAGCGGACACATTGCACCGGCCACGCTCCCCCACTGAGTGGCACCGACCTCTCGCCTGATGTGGCCTCCTAAACAGGCGCGAAAGGCGTCCATTACCGAAATGATACGCGAACGGAATGCACACGCAAAGCAGCTTGCTGCGACTGGGAATGTAATTCACTTTACGGAGACCTTGGTGAGGATTCATAGGGTAGAATCCCAGGGGAGAGTTTGATCGTAGTCCTGAACGCACCATTCGTCGGAGGCCGTCTTAATCAGCTATCGTGCCGGGGTCTTACCGCATTGTGTGAAGGTCGCTGCCGTCCAGTCGCCGCGCAAAGATGACAGTGAGCCCTGCACTTGTCACGCCAGAGCTGAACAAATGACAGTCATCCTTTTCCACATTGCGCTAAATGAAAGCAGAATGTGTAAGTGAATGACTTAACCCTCGCCCGTATGGGGGGGGGGTCGAACGGACCCCCCCCATGGTTTTTCGCGAATAACTCGCGTAAAAAGCGGCCGATCGCGACGAAACTTTCAGTACCCTCGCGTTCATCAATTTCACACCTACCCTGAAAATTTCATGACCCTGACCCAAATGACCTTTGACCTGTGACCTACTTTTCGAGACCATGTTTGGCTGGAATCGCGATTCGGCGTATGTCGGCTCGCATTAGCCGCGCGTTTGCAGTGTTTTCGTGGTTTCAAGCGTTCAAACATGTGATATGATGTTGCCCCCATGCATTACGGTGGGTGTCAAGGTCACCTGAAGGTCAGGTCAGGTCATTGACCTTTGATGACCTCGGTTCACTTTTTCGAGTTTTACATGTTTCTAGGCCAGTTTTTGGAGCTGAATTCGAATTTAGCAACCATATGAACATTTACGAAGTAGTTTTGGTGCCCTCGTAACATGTTACGAAGCTGTAAGAGGCGGTTGCCACCTACTACGAATACCCTTACTGGTTGACCTGACCTGACCTGACCCGACCTGACCTAAATACATGAAGACATCATCTGTGATCAAAACTAACATGATATTCGTGATCAGCACCCCGAAAAACCCCATAGCAGCCACACTTTACGACGTTCTAACAGGTCCCGATTTTCCCGCCTTTGGGGTCATTGACCTGACCTGCAAGGTCAACCAATGACCTAGGACCATAAAATTGGGTATCATCGGCTTCCTCTCGTCACGGGCAACACGCTCGTTTCTAGCTCGATCAGGGGCGAAACGGCAAGGGGGGGTCCAACGGACCCCCCCCCCTTATACGTTCGCGGCTGGAAAAACACCAATACGGGCGAGGGTTAAAGACTGAATGAAAGCCACCAGCAACACAAGTTCAGTACCTATCTGTTAAACGTATGAAGGATGGCGCCTGCACAGTGCACAGCCTACAAAAAAAGGCTTGCTTCAATGTGACATGCTTAGTTACGGTTACTTGAGACGTTGAGGATTATCAAATGAAGATGTGACATATATATAAAATGAATTCAAAAGTTTAGGCCATACATGAACTTATGTGTCACATACTCGAGACGTGTCGTTCCTAGCTACCGTGCTACCCTCGCCCGGCGAGGGGGGTTGATGCAACCCCCTTAAGGTTTTTCGCAAAATTTGGCATACCCTCTGGGGCAACCTTTGCGCACCTATCCTGAAAATTTCAGGTCCCAGTCTTTTCAGGTCAGGTCACCAGGTCACAAAAACCGGTACAAGGTCAGGGGAAAATTGGACTAGTTTAACGGCAACTGAATGCTAGCCCGCGCCGGGCCGGTGCTCCGAGATTCCGTGCCGGGCCGGGGGTGTCTGAGAACACCCCCCTTCTTACTCGGCTCCTGGGCCACGTAGCGACACGCGGTAAGCGGCAATCGAAAGAACGTCCAAAATAAGGACGAAAACACCTTGGGTCATTATTTGGGTCAGTTCAAAGGTCAGGTCACCAGAGGTCACCAAAGGTAAAATGTTGACTAGTTCAACATTTTGGAAACTGCCGACGGCTATCTCGGGAACCGATAGAGCTACAACGCCGCGGAAAAACGCATTCAATAGCCCTTTTACAGACCTTTCTGATTAATGTTCTCAGATTTGACCTAAGGTCAACGGTTTAGCCTCCAGAGGGCAAAAACTAAAAAATAGCCGTTTTTACGAAACGCGTTTTTTTTCGGCAATAGCTTTTGACTCAAAAGAGGCATGACATTACTTCTCGTCGAGACGCGTCGAATGAACTATACTATTTGATCTTGAAAGGTCAACTTGAAAATTTGACGTCAGGTCAAGGTCATGACCTGACCGGAAAGGGTCATGTTGCATATCAGTCGATCCGTATCGTCGAACTGAATACATCTGACGTGTTTTCATCGCTCTAGCACGTCTTTATCAAAAGTTATTGCCAAAAAACTGTTGGTGACCGTTCATGACTTCCGATGACCTCAAGGGCACACAGTGGGGTCACAGGTGCATTTTTCCGATTCAGTGTGTCGTGTTTTCCTATGAAACGATGTTTCAGAGGGTTTTGAACATCATTCGTCCAAAAAAGGCGCATTTCAATTTTCTCCCTTTGACATAATGGAGAGGTCGCAAAAGTTACCTGACCTTAGGTCACCGATATCAAAATTCCGAGATATACATTATGTACATACTGTTACTCTTATCAATCGCTGAAAGTTTCAAGGCGATCGTTCAATCGGTGTAGCTATGACGAGGATTGAAACTTTTTCTGAGGTGAGGTCACTTGACCTGACCTGGCATAGGCGTAGGAACAGGGGGGACCGGGGGGGCCATGGCCCCCCCACTTTCGGAGGTGGGGGGGCCAGCAATGTTAACTGGCCCCCCCACTTTTTGCTGACTTAAGTGTCTGTCTGTACCTAACCTACCACCCGGTAACTTGACAACATTCAGCTTGCCCTTTAATGAGGATTCCTTTTTGTTTCTACAGCGTTATTGACCGCAATTTCCTTCACTCAATGAAGGAAACCATATCAGAGACAAGACTGTGAGTCCTGGTGACAGCATTTTGTTGAATACGAGGCGCGGGACAGCGAGCACTAAAAAGGTATAGGCAATACTAAGACAATACTTGCACGGTGCAGGAGAATGCGTATACAAACGACCAACGCTTGACCTTATCTGCTTGGGGTCGGCATAGTTCGTCAAAGGCGTACTAGCTGGGGGCCAGGGTGACCATGCCTCAGCCTCGGTTCAAACAGGCTGGGGGCCAGCAATGTCTGTATCTGCCACCTCCCCCCTTCCACTTTCAGTGCAGTGGCGGTCGCAGAGGGGGATCAGGGCCATGCCCTTCCCCCCTCCAAAGGCTAATCAGGGGGCCATCATATCATTTGGCCCCCCCAAACAACCAATGGGCCCCCATGGGCGTATGGGGCTCTGGCCCTTATTCGATTGTCACGAGACTCAAGAATCCCACGCTAGCTATTAACAGCTCCCAAGCCAGTCTTTGAGGGTCCTACACTGATCTCGGAGGGCCCTTCAGTGGCGGTCAAGCGCCCACATTGACCGCTGAGAACCCACATTGACCTCATTTGAGGGCCCCTAAACCGGCCTCAAGGGCCCAGCCGGCGTCTGAGGGCCTCACACCGGCCTCTGGTGGCCTCATTTCTGTCTCTGGGGTCCCAAGACTAGCCTTTAGGTGCCTTTGAGGGCCCCGCACTGAATTCTGAAGACCCGATGCCGGCCTCTAAGGGTCCGCATCGGCCTCTGAGGGTCCACCTTGGCCTGAGGGGTCCAACGCCGGCCCATGCCGGTCTTTTAGGGCCCCACACTGACCTCTAAGGGCCCATGCTGACCTGTAAGGACCCACATTAGCCTATGAGGCCTTGCACGGGATTCTGAAGACCTGATGCCGGCTTCTGAGGCCCATCTTGGTTTTTGAGGGTCTTCTGCTGGCCTCTGGGGTCCAACACCGGCCCATGCCGGCATTTTAGGGTCCCACACTGACCTCTGAGGGCCCATACTGGCCTGTAAGGACCCACATTAGCCTCTGATGGCCCAAGTCGGCATCTTAAGGTCTCATCCTGCCCTTTGCAGGCCCTGTACTGGTCTCTTAGGGCCTAAACCCTCGCCGGCCGGGGGGGGGGGGGGCGGGTGCCGCCCCTCCATAGGTTTTTTTTTCGCGATAGCTCCGAACACGCCGGCGATAGAGAGCTGAAGCTTGGCATACCTGACCTTTGAATCAAACGGGATCTTTTGACACCAACCGCATTTTCGGGTCAGATCAGGTCACTGGCCCATGTGGTCATAAGTGAACCTCTGCACGGTCTTCAGATGTCGCAACTTCGCAACGCCCTCACTGCCAGAGGAGATTTCACAGGGAAATGAACCTTGGAGGACCTAGTATCCAATAGGAGTCTCTCAACTTGTATAATGTAGTATATCTCGGATTTTTCCTAAAGTTCATATGAGGTCAGGTCATTTTCGTGACCTCACCATTAGGTATAAGTCAATGGGGATAAACTGAAAACTTTTCTGGCGCCGGGAACGATCGATCTCCAACTATCTCAAGCACACCGAATCGTGATTTCATGCACTCCTTGCAAGGTTCGATGCGTCACTTTTGCAATGTTGACCTTGCGCGACGTCGTTTATGAAGTTATAAGGGTCTTATTAGTTTTTCGTCAATAACTAGGTACCGATCAAATTGAGCTAGCGAGTCGGGAAAGCCACCTATGGACTCAAGAAGACCTGCCGAATCGAATGATATGCGACATGACCTCCTTTGACCAATTTCGTGACCTGGGGACGCCGACCTGACCGTGACCCGAGGTCAACACCCTAAGTTTACCTCACCCAAACAAAAAGTATATCATTCGACGCGCCTGAGAGAGGCGAACACGATGCTGGCAAAATCGCGGCTCTGCGGCCATTTTTTGCGAAGTTATTCACCAAAAACGGAACCGTGCCTTGAGGCACTTGACCTGACCTCAGAGGTCACCGGTTTTTGTTTGTTTTGTTGGGTTAGGCCCTTTCGGTCCAATGAGACCATTTCAGAGCCGGAAGGATGATAGGATATAGGGGGAGACATTGGTCTGGGCAGGCACCCTAATGAGTCGCCGGGGCTGAGCCCGTCCAGAGGACAGGCCACCCAGCCCCAAGGCACTCACTGCACCCGGCTACGGGGTGCGCTCCCTCGGGTGCAGCGGT